CTTGGACGTGGCAGGATTCTCAAAGACCAGGCCGCCCCTCCGTCGTTGCCAAAGAGCAGCACGGCGGGTGAAAGACAAAACTGTCCGCCTGGCCTGGAGGCGCTTGCGCTGCAAAGTCAGCCGCTGAGCTTCAGTCCTCATGCTGATGTTCTGAAGCGGGCCACATGGCCAAGCGATCATCAAAACATCAGGCTCAACCTCCTGGAGGTACTTCATCGCCTTGTTCTGGCCGTCCATGGTGCTGACATCCCAACCTGACTCCAAAGAGATCGGCTCCCAAGCTTCCCAACATCCTCGCTCGGTGGCAGTGATTGACAGCATACATGACCATGTAAAGAGCTCGAGAATGCGCCACCTTGAGCGAACTGAGGGCTTGGTGTTGCGAGCGATGAGAGCAGACTTGCAGGAAACTTCAATCGCAGCTGCATCAGCAATCTGGTTTGCTGCGTTGAGAAGACGCTTGCGCTGACCTTTGGTCAAGATCTCATTTCCTTCTTCCGCGAGGCCGGTCGTGAGGGCGTCTTCAAAGCGGTCAGGTTCTCCCTCGGAGTCTGACGTGCTCTCATCAGCTGATGATGGTCCATCCTCGTGGGAAGACTCAGATTGGCCTGATGAAAACGAGCCATGGCTGTCTGAGTCCGAACTGTCATCCTGGGGCTCCGCCTCCTTGGTGGGGACTTGTGCACGATCTGGTCCAAACCACTGATGGCCTCATCTTCCATGTGGCTCTGCCACAGAGCAAGATCTTCGAGATCTGATTCTGGCTCAGCCAGGGAGTAGAAAGACACCTCAGATTCATCTGAAGATGTCGCCTCCTGCTTGGAGGGGGAAGCTCATCTTGGCTCTGCCAAAGGGCCAGCTTGCGTGGATCTGCTCGTAGGACAGCTCGAAGTTCTCGAAGTTCGGAGGTGTTCCAGTCCTCTGCCTTGCCATCGTCACCAAGAATCTCGAGAACGGGGTGTCGAGTTGGTGAGAGCTCCGTAGGTGTGCTGCAGCCATCGATCACCGTCATGCCCTTGGCGAAGTCCATAGTGACCTTCCAGCGTGCCAGCTCTGAAGGTCCAACCAATGCCAGGCAATTGGAAATCCGGGGATCCTGCTTGGTATCATCCACCACAGCGACTCTCAGCCACGATCGGATGCCAGTTCCCCCCAAGACCACTGGATAGAGACCAGCTTCCGTTGACAAAACTGGGGCTCCAGCACCGAAGCGAAAAGTCTCCTCATGCTCCAGCACCTCATAGGGAAGATCACGCTGGTCGAGGGCCTGGCGCATCTTTACATGCCACTTCGCACCAGCGACTGCCGCGCGACATCCGCTGTCCAAGATCACTTTGTGGGCTGCGTGCTCCAGCATCCAGACATCCATGGGATCCTCCTCCAAGACCGTCTCGGCGGTGAGTGCACCATGGTCCATGCTGTAATAGAGCACCTTCTTCAACTTGCAAGCCTTGCAAGAGGCCCAATGCGCGGCACCGTTTGCGCCCCACCTCAAGCTCTGCCACGGGTGAGGGCACTTCTCCTGTTCTGGAGTTGGCAGCTCTGATGCTTCTGAAGGTCGAACTCGCCCTTTTCGATCCAAGGCACCATCATAGAGGTCTTTCCTGAACTGCTTGAGACGCTTGCGTCGAACTGGCTCAGGAAGATCACTTGTCGAAGCTGGCTCTGGTGCCGGGGTGGTCGACGAGCTTGCTGCCTTATAGCCTCCATCATGCCGCTTGTCTGTTCTCTTCAGCTTCTCGGCCGTCTGATGCTGGTCCAAGTATCGGGCAGCTTCACGATCTCTTTCTGCCTTCAGCTCCTTGTACAGCCTCCTCTTCTCATCTTTTGACATGTGCGGAAGGATCTCCAGCATATCGGCCGGCGCGAGGTCGGTCTCCATTGCCACGGGCTTCGACCCTTTTGCTTTGCTCTTTGCTTTTGCCAGCTCTTTCTCTTTCTCTTGCAACTGCCCCTGCTTCTTCAGCAGCTTCTTCTTCAACTTAAGATCAGATTCATCAACTTCTTCAGCCAAAGCGGAAACCACGGTACGGAGAGCTGCTTTATATTTTGAAGCCTTCTTCTGAGCAGATGCTTCCTCCGACGATCGGCCAGCACTGAATCCAAGAGGTTCTTCTGGCTCTGAACTGCTGCTGGGTGAAGAGACGGCTGAACTGGAGTCCGAAGAATAGGCCTTGATGCGCTGCCAACCTTCCATGAATGTCCAGTTCACCTTGTGCACATTGAGTCCCTTGGTGCTCCAAGTGTGCCTGTTGCCGTCATCCTCCTCCTGCTTGACTTCCTCCTTCGTCCTTGCGCCACTGCCGCGTGCCGTGGGGGAAGTGTCGGTGGTGAAGTTGACCTGCGACTTCGCGGGATCATCACGTGGAGGGTCAGTCCCATTCTTCACATTTGGACATTCAGGGTCACCATGCCAGTGTCCAATCTGTTTGCATGATGCGCACTTGGACTTGGCCTTCCGCTGGTCCTTCGTGCGGTACTCCACGAACCTGCCACCACCTTTCTTGCCCTTTTTGCCTTTGCCCTTGGACTTGGCGTCACTGTAGCCTCGTGCTTTGCGAGCTTCTGCGGATTTCTGCTTGGCACGCCATCCAGCTGCATAGGCCTCTCTCAAGTCCATGCCTTCATCATCCCAATCCCAGTCGCCTTCTTCATCTTCGTCATCCCAATAGTAGTCCTGTTGGTAGGCCTCCTGCTCCAGGTCTTCATTGTCAGCCTCATCGTCTTCATTTTCGTAGTAGGCCTCATCATCACCTTCTTCCTCTGGGATGCCCTCCTCGTCATCGTCCCAGTCCGGCTCCTCCTTGACATTGGCTAGATGTGCACGAGAGGATCGGTGAGGCTTCGGGCGACTTGACTTGGAGGTCGATGAAGTCTTCCACCTGCGAGGATGATGGTGCTTGTCCTGAGGGCGATACTTGGTCTCGTCAAGATGGACATTCGAGCATCGAAACTTGAGAACTTTCTCGATGGCATTGGATGCATACTTGCCGCCAGCACTGTAGAAGATGTCCATCCGCTCCTTCTTGGTGAGGGAAGCACGAGATAGCATTCTCTGGGCAAAACTCTTGTCCGACAGCGTGGTGCCTGTGTCTTCTGCCAGGTACTCTGTTCGAAGTCTCTTCAAGGCGCTGATGTAGGAAGCGACGCTCTGACCTGGGGCACGGCGATACGTCAAGTAAGCTTCCTGGCGCTCTTCGAAGCGTTCATCAGATCTGGCACCATAGGACTCCTCAAGCAGCCGCATGACTCTGTTGAGTCCTCCTGGCTCCCTCATCTCGGAGACTTGAAGTTGATTCAGGATTTGACGCGGCTCTCCCTGGCATGAAAGGTAGATTAACATGGCCAATTCGGCCTCATCCAGCGCCTGCTGGGCCTCAATGGTGTGCTTCCACTCTTTGAAGTGGGATCTCGAACCCCTGAACATTTCCAGGCGGACTTGACTGAGCGAAGGCTTCGACCTGTCCTGCTGCTTCTTCGCCTGTTGACCCAGGAGTGCACGGATCTCACCTGTGGAAGCCGTAGATGCACTCGAACCTGATGCTCTGGATGATGTACGATTCGAAGCAGCTGGAGTTGATGTCACGTTGGACGAAGTCGGATCCGATGATGGTGGACCTGGTGGTGGTCGAAGGCGTGGATCACGAGGGTTCCTCTGATACTGCCTCGGGCCACGGCTGTCGTCAGTGAGATTGGATGGTGTCACCGGCGGATCTTCTTCGAACCCTTCTGACTCTTCACTCTCCTCCTGCTCCTCGTAGGTGTACTCGGAGTACTCCTCATCGTCATCTTCTCCAGGCGGATCAGGATTCGGAGGCGCTGCCTTGGACTTCTTCGAAGGAGTCTGTGAGTCATCACGGCCAGATGGGCGAGGGTCATCATCTTGGCGTTCCTTCTTCTCCTTATCCTTCTTTTCCTTCTTATCACTCTTCTCCCCCTTCTCAGCAGCTGAAGGTGGAGGTGGTGTCTTCGTCCTCTGCTCCTTCGGCTGCTCCCTCGGCCGCTCCTTGTCTGAGCGATCTTTCTTCTTGTCCTTGGCGCTGCGGTCTGACTTGTCCCTGCCATCCTTCTTGTCTTTGGTTTCCTTCTTCTCTTTCTTTTCCTTCCTCGCTGCTGCCTTTGGGGCTGCCTTGGCACGAAGTCCATGTCCCTCTGGAAGTGGAACTCCTACTGAACGGTGTTGTGACGGGTGCTCCAAAGTAGATGCAGTCGAGTGAGGAGGTCCTTTCTCTCGACCTTTTGCTTGTTCAGCTTCTCGTCGAGGAAGGTGCCATGATCCGTCCATGGATGATGGCTCATAGGACAACCATTGAGCTCCGGTCCAGAACATCCAAATGCCCGTCTGAGGTGATTGGTACCAGCCAGGTACCTGACTTGACCATCCGGCCACAGCTGACCATTGTCCAAAGATCTGGCTCCATCGGTTCTCATCGAGCACCTCGTAGGCATCGTCCATGGTGTAGGGATGTCGGCCCCTTCCAGCTCCAGCGCCTTTGTCTTTGCCCTTTGAACTCTTGCCTCCAAGACCTTTTCCTTTGTGTCCTGGCGACCGTGGTAGTTCGGGGCGAGCTCGTCCGCGGCCTCGACCTCGATGAGTGGAGCGTCCACGTTCTTCACGGGCTCTGCCGTGTTGTTCCGTGGCTCGGCCACGGACCGGGGCGCCGCCCTCTGGCTCCGCCGCTGGCGGGGTGGCTCGGCCACCAGGAGTCTCAGCTCCGTCCCATGAGGGAACAGGGATGGTGTCGGCCGTCGTTTCCATCCCTGACCCTAGGTGCGGCACAGCACCTGCCCACCGGTATTCGGTAGGCTCCGCTACCAATGCGGAGATGAATTGGGCTCTAGGTAAATGAGAAAGCGAAAAGCGCGGCTTTTTGCTGCGTGCGCTTGATCAAGCTAGCGAGCGGAACCGAACATGCCACCAACAACCGGCAAGTACCAGCAACTGCCATCTTCCACAACAATGTCCGTTTACCAAGGCCGATGAAAGCTGGGAGCCTTGCATCTGTTGCTTGATTCTCGTCAAAGAAGCCAGGAAGTCTGCAGACCTGATGCAGTCTGTCAGTCTGTCCTTCACCAGCATCTTTGATCAAAGAAAGCTTTCTTGTCATCACTAGTATGGAGTAAAGACGACATCAAAGACAGCAACCCCAAAAAGCAAAAAGACATTATTGTTGCATCTCGTTACTTTTTCTCAGTGCTTCTTTGCTTCCAGCATCTTGTGAAAGCACAAGAAAGGAAAGCCCTGGACGGAATTTCAAGCAGCTTCTCGTGAAAGAGTAACTTCCAAGCCTGCAGGGTTACATCAACAAAACTAGTGGGGTACACACACATACCAAAAAACTTTCAGCACACGCGAATGTTATTTAACGTCTCGCCCCCTTTGAGAGATACTAGAACCATTTAGAAGCTCTATAGACTCTATAGTTTTCATATGTTTTCAGCTATTTGAAGAACGCTTATGAGATCTTACTTATAAGCAATTCCAAAACCCAGGCCTCGTTGACATTCCCACGGTAGGAACGGACGAGCCAATCCTGCATCAGGACATGAACCATGAATGCTTGTTGGGATTGATGATATGTTTGCAGCAGCTTCTGCCCATCAGGATGCCCTAGCCACTCGTTCGAAAGCACAAAACAACGACTCCTGCTCCTTTTTGTCGCCAAGCCCGCACTAAACGCTCTACATTCGCAGAGCGAATTGAAAAACTAGGTCGAAGCGAAGAAGTTGTACTTTTACAACCGTTCCTAACTAACACTATCGCATAGGTGGCAATCGGCAGCACGTCTTGGTACTCCTTCCTCCTTTCCAACTGTTAAAACAAGCCTGGAAAGGTGCAAAGTTTCTGCAATCGGCCAGAAGGGCCATGAAGGGCCACATGCACACATGCGCACTTTCATCGTCTACAAATGAATACCGCCATGCAAGGAGCAAGCCTGCAGTGCATAAATTAAGCGGATCGGAAAGAATTGTGTCAAGCAAGAGAAGCAAGTTCAATGAAAGCCGCGAATGCACCTCAAGAGGCAAACTGACTTGGCAACAGCAACTGCTCCCATAGCTGACAAAACCTTACTGTTTGTGAAATGAATTGCTGGCTTGCCGATGCATGAAACCTGCACACAGTTTGCAGCCGAGCTGCCTCAAACAAAACAAAGATAGAAGCAACACAGTGGGAAAGCTGGTGAACCTCAATATTGTCGATTCCAGGATGGACGTATTGCTGGTTTCTTCCTTTCGTCGCTTGCAGTAGGATATCTTGGGATGTTTCTTGCAAAGCAGCAACTCGGCTGCTCCAGACGTCATCAATGGCACGGTGCTTGTGGAGGTCAGGTCATCTGAGATGCCGCCGGCACGACTCTGCAGGACATGAAAACTGGTGGATTTTGTGGCCATCTATAAAAGCAAATGCAAGTGTTCTTGGTTTGCCTGCAAAGCTGGAACTTGCAGCCAAATCAAAGGATGAAGTGGATTCACCTCCAGGTCAACAACAAGCATACATCCATTCCCAAAATGAAGGAATACCTAATGAGACTTGGAGCCAAGTTCATGCAGGAAACTGAAGGGAAAAAGCGATTCAAGGAAGCCAAAGCAAAAGGACAAAGATCCACACAAGCAAGCAAATGGCACTGTTGTTTAAGATGTTTGAGTCAGATTCACAACGAAGCAATCAAAATGAATGAACCAAAAAAGACACTGCAATCCGTGTCATCGTCACAGACAACTACATCAGTTCTATCATACCATAGGCCATAGGCAATCCTTCAGCTTCTCAAAGAAAATCAAACGTTCATGCAAGAGTCCCCGGACGCCCCCGACTGCGGCCCTAATTGATGCTGAACTTTCAACGGGTTGGAATTTGACTGAACAGCTGAGCTTCCTGTTGCGTGATTCTAAGTTGAAGCTGAGCCACGACTTGTTGAAAAGCATGCCTGACAAATTGACTCCAGCTGGGTGCTGTAGCCACCGCCATTGACAGCGTCAGTGTAGCCCTGAGTCTCACAGCTTAGCACCCACACAAACGCATGATGGCATGTGCTGCGCGTGCCGCTGTGCCGCGTGCCTCTTGAACGAGCATGTCCACTGCCGATTGAGCCCTGACTCCCGCTGCACAGTACGTCACGATGGGTGTCTCCTTCACAGCACGTAGGAAGAAACACCTGAAAGGACGAACAAGTGAGCAAAGTGAAGACGTTGTTGTTGTTGTTGTTGTTTTTCTTGTTTGATTGTTTTATGTTCTTTTTTTAAGCCTGGGGGGCTTGGCCGCTAAAGAGGAAGAACTAGCTAGTAGCTTACGTAAGCTCCTAGCTAGGACGCAGGATAGCTCGCACTTCTTCAAGGAAGCTCTCCCCCGGCTGAGGGCGGGGGGAACTTCTTGAAGAAGCGCTCGCACTAATGATTTGGTTCCTAGATTTTTAGGGAACCTGAACTGGCAGTGAACCTAACTTGTTGAAAGAAAACGATTTGATCTTTCCTTCAAAGGCCTTGAATTTCGGAAACAAAAGCAGAAACATCCTCCGTCCTTGTTTCCACCGGCCAGAGCGAGCACATCCTCCGAATCGCAAAAAAATAGGATTCTCATAGAACTTGAAAATGTATACCACGTCTACCATTCCTTCTTTTGTTTCAATGGTTCTATAGTTCCATCCATTTCCTTCACAGAACCCCTCCTGTCTCCAATTTGTAGGATTCCTGAAATTCACTTGAGAGATAGTCCGTTCATGCTCCATGGCAGTGATCAACTCATGTCAGCTCAACTGCAGCCGGCACCAAAGCATTGCTACTGCGGCCTAGTCACTTTTGGATTTGAATGCGAGTGGCACAACTTACATGTCCAGCATCCCACTCATACTGTTCACGCACGTCAATAACAATAGCACAGCGGTCAAAGGATCCCATGCAGGTGCTGGTATGTGGACAGAGATCAAGGCTCAGCGACGTTCCTTGAGCCTAATGCAACCAGAAAACACCAGAACCACATGGAGAGTGTTTGGGAAAAGCCGGCAATCTCGACCAGTTTCATGTTGCATGCTGTGCAAATGTCGTAGCATGATTTCCGCTTGTGGCATTGTGTCCTTGAAGTCCTTCATGATATTGGTGCCAGTTTCGAAGGTTGTTCGGCATTTCACATCCTTATCATTGAGGGCGCTCCACTGGCGCATAATTAAAAAAAGGGACATTGTGCACAGGTGCAGCTCACACCTGGCTATCCACAATCACCAAATGCCCTGAGCACTAACGCTGCGTTCAGAGTGTTTTTTTGTGTGTGTGAAGCCCTTGGAATCTCAGGGAATCCGTTGATTCATTACCTTTAACTTGGGATTTTGATTTAGCAGGGGGGCTGGTTGTTCGTGCAAGTACCAGCCCAACGAAAAGGCTTGCATTGAACACTGATGTCGGTGGGGACGCTCACGGACGTACCTGCTTTGAACGCAATGACTCCAATGGTCCGCCCTCGCTCAGGCTGCTCCTAGATTCTTCAGGCGCTGTAAAGTGCTAGTGAGTTCCGCAGACTTGCACGGACCGGCGTCATCCTGTCGTATCGCGATCATCGACTTTGAACTTGGAACTTTGGGCCTCTCTTTTTGATTTGACCTCCAGGATGCTCGGGCCCCCTTACATGTTTTTCTCAGGAATATGGTTACCTAGGTTGCCGTGTGGCGAGCGGCATTCAATTTCCGTGCGCATTTCCTATAAGTGTGTCTCTCGTTAGTGAAAACCCAGGGTGTACCCGAGGAGTGTCCCCTGTGGCCCCGTTGAACAGGGGTTTGTCTCGGTTAAATTCCCCTTGAACAACATATGTGTCCGCAGCGGACTGAGTAGGCTTGCACCAAAGTCATTTGCCAAGATTTGACGGACTATTGAGCCTGAGTAGGCAGCCCTACACCACGCCAGAACGTGCCCACAGCGGACGTGAGTAGGCTTACGCCACGAGGTGGTCGCAGACCGAAGCTTGTTCAAGACCTAGTGGGGTCTGTCCCAACCTCAGGTGCACACACGGCTCACACATACCAAACAGGTTCGTTTTATATAATGAGGTTTGGCTTCGTTGTTGACGGCCCCTCCATTTGGCTTCCCCCTTCATCCTTCCCCTTTCACACACTTATAGATATGCCTACTGACTGACAGCGGTGCCACACGCCGGCCTAGGGTACCATTTCCTAAGGGTACAAGCAAGAACCACGGATCCTGGAGGTCTTCAAAAGGAGAAGTGGCCCAAAGCGGAAGAAACCAATCGACGATCGCGGGTCGAACAAGATGACGGCGGTCCGTGCACATCTGCAGAACTCATTAGCCCTTTACGTGAAGATTGGAGCGAAAGCTTGTCAACGCCACAACCAAGCAGGTACGTCGGAGTGATCAGCTCCGATATCCTCCCAACTCATGAGCAGCTTCGTTGGCAGTAGACTCATGAGTGGGCTACTGCCCCCTGCTGAAGTAAATGGAAACAATTCAAAAGAATCCCTGTGACTACAAGGGGCGCACACACACACGCCTCCCCGAAAAAAGGCGTAAAGCTAAGGCGAGGGCAAATGTGCACGTGCGCGCGCACGCACAAGAGACAAAAGAATGAAGACATGACAGGAGGACGAGACGGGACAAAGGTGCGTGCGGTTGAAATGAAAGGGGAACCAAGTGCACAGGGACACCCGATGAAGCCCACCTCATTGTAAAGACCTGGGCGACCTGAAACCTGTGTTTAAATGTATGTACAAGTGCACGTACACACTAAGGTCGGGACCAATGTGCGCGCAAACGAAGAAAAGGATGAGATGACCAGACATGAAGACAGGAGGACATGAAAGAAAAGAGGAAACAAAAGTGTGTGAAGGGGAGGGGATGAAAGGGCAACCAAATGGAGGGAACGAGAACCGATGAAACCAAACCTCATTAGAAGTGCCTAGGGACCTGCCTCGTTTGAATGTAAGCGCTGTGTGTGCACCTGAGAGGGGGACAGGTTCCAATGAACCTTGAACAAGCTTTGGTCACTGCGACCACGTACGGCTTGCCCGAGGGCTGCCACCTTTGACCGCTGCGGTCACGTAAAGGCATGAGTCGTGAGCCAACTTGGAATTCAATAATCCGTCAGGTCTTGGCAAATAACTTTGGCGTAAGCCTCCTACGCCCGCTCTGGGCATGTGCGTTTCCACGGCATTGGAAACAGAGACAGACACCCGTTCGACGGGTCCACGGGAGGCACTCTACGGGCTCATCCCGGACTCTCACTAGGAGAGACACACTTATAGATATGCATACTGACTGACAGCGGTGCCACACGCCGGCCTAGGGTACCATTTCCTAAGGGTACAAGTAAGAACCACGGATCCTGGAGGTCTTCAAAAGGAGAAGTGGCCCAAAGCGGAAGAAACCAATCGACGATCGCGGGTCGAACAAGATGACGGCGGTCCGTGCACATCTGCAGAACTCATTAGCCCTTTACGTGAAGATTGGAGCGAAAGCTTGTCAACGCCACAACCAAGCAGGTACGTCGGAGTGATCAGCTCCGATATCCTCCCAACTCATGAGCAGCTTCGTTGGCAGTAGACTCATGAGTGGGCTACTGCCCCCCTGCTGAAGTAAATGGAAACAATTCAAAAGAATCCCTGTGACTACAAGGGGCACACACACACTTCTTTGCCTTTTTCCTTTCATGTCTTCTCCGCCTTCATGTCCTGTCATCTCATTCCTTTCATTCTTTTGCACGCACACCGGTCCGGCCCTTAGGTGTCCGCGCACATGCACTTTTACACTTAACCCAGGTTTCAGGTCGCCTAGGTCTTGATATGTGGTCTGGTTCATTGGTTGTCCCTGTTCCCTTGGCTTCCCCTTCATCGCAACCACGCACACTGGTCGTGTCTTGTCTTCTTCTCATGTCTTCAAGTTTTGTCGTCTTTGCGCGCACATGCACATTTGTTTGCCCCTTAGTTTTTGGGGCCCCCCCACGTGGGTGGGGTGAAACCCTTGGAATCACAGGGAATCCGTTGATTCGTTACCCTTTTTTTAGTTTTGATTTAGCGGGGGGCTGGTTGTTCGTGCAAGTACCGGCCCAACGAAGAGGCTTGCATTGAACACTGATATCGGTGGGGACGCTCACGGACGTACCTGCTTTGAACGCAATGACTCCAATGGTCCGCCGTCGCTCAGGCTGTTTCTAGATTCTTCAGGCGCTGTAAAGTGCTAGTGAGTTCCGCAGACTTGCACGGACCGGCGTCATCCTGTTGTATCGCGATCATCGACTTTGAACTTGGAACTTTGGGTCTCTCTTTTTTGATTTGACCTCCAGGATGCTCGGACCCCCTTACATGTTTTTCTCAGGAATATGGTTACCTAGGTTGCCGTGTGGCGAGCGGCATTCAATTTCCTTACGCATTTCTTATATAAGTGTGTGTGTATGTGTGCGCAAGGAACAAGACAAAAGGGCTTTCCTTCATGCTACCCATTGATAATCTTCCCTTTCCACGAACTTTGATTGATTCAGTATCCTTCCTGAGAGCTTCTATCTCGGTCCCTCCAAACGCTCACTTCAAAAACATATGTCCTCTTTCATGCAACTCTTTCTCCCGACAAAGGATTGCCTTCCGCATGCCCCTCATTTAGAGATGCAAACATTGTGTTGGAAACAAGGTTTGTAGAGTCATGAGTGTTGGAAAAGAAGAGGACTTAAGGCCACTGAGCAGTCTCACCAAAGAAAGTGTGACGGAATAGATGGCGTGGATTCCGTCTTCTACTTGCATGCCATGATATGTTCATGATTGGTGACGACTTAGAAACACTTGATTGTTGGTGACCAGCAAATCTCGTTGCACGAGCGCTCTTTATGCGATTCCCTGGGGCGATCTTTTGAACAACACCTCCATGAACCAAAGACAAATCGAACCTGGTCTCTCACACCTGAGTGCTTCCTGTTCTGATTGTCATTTTGTGGACAGCCTTGAACAGTGACATCTCTTGAGTTAAGTTCGCCGCTACCACTAGCAATTGTGAGTGTCTGCGAAGCACGTGATTGCAACTGCAGCAACTTCTTCAAAGATCCAGACTGACTTGGAAGCCACCTGGAAGTTCCAGGCCTCATGCATACTTTTGCATGCATGCCAAATGAGCAAACCGAGGCATCCTTTGGAATCCTACATTGAGGAATGGAGCTTCTTTCGCCACATGATGGTCTTGCATGCACGACGACAACTCAAGCGTTATTGAGTAGCTGAGTTCATCACATCCTTCCATGGTCCGTCTGTACTCCTGGCTGTTCGGGCGGCGGCAACTTGCAGCTGTTCAGTGGTACTACCAAGACCATTTAACTGGGCCACAGGCTCGTTGGAGTATTGCAACTTACAGGAGCCTCAACTGCACATTCTGCGATTGTTGGCAGCAGTGTCAAGAGCTTGGATGCAACCTTTCAAGGAAGATCAAGTACGTTGTACGCCCCGTATGTATGCATATGTACAGACATACTCAGGAATTGCCAGGCATAATGAATAATATCAGCTGCCGGCGGTGATGGGAAAGTTGTACCCCTGCTCATTGGTCTTGATCTTTGCACAACTCTCTCAATGTTTGGTCATCAAACCAAGGGTCACTTAGTTTTGGGCCTTAGGCTATCTGCGCTTTCAGTATGGTTCTGTCTTCTGCGCCACGAGTCCTCTTACATGTGGTCTTTCAAAAGGACACTCCACCAATCTCCCTGCACCATCCATTACTGTACAAGAAAAGGATAGTCACACCCAAAATGGGTGCCTGCATCATGCCTTTGTACGCTTCTACTATGACGGCAAGGATAAGCCGGCCAGGCAAATGCTAAAACCTTTCCAGTACGGCAATCCCATGTCCAATCCCTTTCTCGGCAATCGGTTTCCCTTTCCCAATGCCTTGACCACCTTCGTCTGAGTCACGCACGCGGTCCCGCATCATTCCCCGGAAGGCTCAGTTCCAGAGCGTGCAGCCTCTTTGGCTCCTGTGCAGTTTCCATGGTTGTATGAACAAATGTCAGATAGAAAAAAAAAAAGCCAAAAGAAAGTATATATATATACAATGTTAGGGCTGCCATTTAGCTTGGTCTCCTTGTTTGCAAGTTGTAGGATCACAAACTGGTTTTCAACAGTGCCATTTGCAGACCTGAATGACAAGCTGGACATCTGATACTCCCCAGCTGTGTATGTTTAGCTTTATCAGAGCCTGAGTCGAGGCCTCTCCTAGTGTTGCACTGAGGTTGTGACTCCCACCAGCCACTCTGCCTCAAAAGCTGCATACACGGACATGATTGCTTCCAAAGCAAACAAAGATCTATTTTGATGGCATTCATTGTGGTTGCAAGAAATGCCAACTCTAGTGGACGTCATGCTGATCACACTTGTGTGCAGCTTCGGTGTTGCATTGCACCAGTGCAATCTCGCAATCCATGTCTGCGTTCCAGGGAATACATCAGGTCGCCAGCTGGGCAAGTAACTTTGATGCAGGCCGTTACCCACGCCCACTCGGAAACAAAACTGGAAGAAGCCTGTGATTGCAGCTCGGATTAAACACTGAACTGAGGCGGGTGCTTCTCCAGATCTGCTGCTGGGCCTTTAAGAGTTCAAAGGAGGGAGTTGGGTTTGCAAAGTAAAACACAGGAGCACGCTTGCAAAGTGTGTCCTCAAGGTCCTTAAGATTGATTATGCCATTACGCTGTTGCGCTGCTTGGTGTTGCGCTGTTTAGCGTTGAACGCACGCATAGCGTTCTACGCCACTACAACCATACACCAGTCGATACCCTAAACCATCCTAAACCCTAATAAGCCCTAAACCTAAACCCTAAGCCCTAATCTGTTGGTGTATCGGTGTATCGGTCCCGTTGGGTGTGTGTGTGTATCAGTGTATCCGTGCGAACGCGTTTATACAGACACGCATTGCAGCCGCTATGCAACATAGTGCAATATTCTGCAATAGGCGCTATGCACCAAGCAAACCACTAGGAGCAAGGATGCTACTAGGGGCTCCTGGCATCCCTACTAGGAGCAAGGATGCTACCAGGGGCTCCTGGCCTTACTACTAGGAACCTACAAGGAGTAAAGGGCATCGCCACTAATGTTTGCCTGAAAAAGCAGCAAACCCGTCTCAACAGCACAACGCACCAAATGTTGCAGAAACCCATCTGTGTAAGGCTCCAGACTTTCTTGTCGCTGGGTTGACCATTTTACCACCTGACGACCAGCCCAACCACTCAGCGGTGGGTGCAACAAATGCAAAATGCAGGAGACCACACGTGCCCCTTCCTAGTGAACCACAGTTTGGAAGTTCCAATTGAGGTGTCTTTGCCTGGAAGCTGATCTCGACCTCTTTGGTCTCAACCTCAACGAACGCCTTCAGAAATGTAATCTTGCATAACGCGTTGGGAAGAAGCAGTGTGTTGGATTTGTATTCTTACTTGAGCTCTTGAAGCCTTCCAGTATATACCTGAGAAGGGAGGGGACGAAAGCCAGCCTCTGGGTTAGGGGGTGCCCTCAGGGCAAGCCTGGGCAAAGACTTGGCGTGCAAGAGGAAGTGATTGGGCAACATCGGGCAAAGAGTACTTCCATGGGATCGCAGCCAGGCTGACAGGGGGTAGAAAGAGAAAGTAGAATACATAGGTTTTGGGGGGGGGGGGCTTTTTCGTCGCGGCTCAGGTGCGTTTTGGAGTTGAAAAAGGGCACCCCTAAGGAAGTGAGGGGCGCTGGGGTTCATGTGCGAGGCGATAGGCAGGGTAGGTGAGGATACACATGTGTATCTAGGTAGAGTGGACAAAGAGTAGCTGGAAGTGGTGAGGTTGATATTGGAGCGACTTGAGTGTGCAAGATGAAGTGATAGGCTAACATGGTGTAAAGAGTACTTTTAGGGGGTGGAGTTGGCATCGCAGGTACGCGATAGGAGGTAGAAACAAATAGAAGGTCGAAGTGAAAGAGAGCTCGAAGTTATGCGGGTGTGGCTTTTACGCGTTTTTGTTGTGTTTTTCTTAGATTTTGTCATGTTTTGAAAGAGTTTCCACGGTTGCGGTCTAGATATGTTCTTGTGCTCCTGTTTCCCAAACAAACCAACTGTTCTTTTTTAAAACAACCTCTGGATCCGACTCTACCCTTCCTTGCCCATAAGCATTCTCATTGTTTCAAATGTAGCACTTTGTGGGTTTCTCCCTCCACATTCTTTATGAAATGGGTTTCTCCCTCCACATTCTTTATGAAATGGGAGAGAAGATCATTATCTTGAAACACAATGTGCCCACCAGGCCCAACAAAAGTTGAGAAACTTGCTTAGTAGTACTGGACCTGGATGACCGATTGGAATTGGGCTTTGCATGGCCTTCTTGACGCCCATACTACCCAGAATAAGCCTCATCCTCATTCTCAGGGTCATAGGGAACCATTCTGCGAGCATTGGGAGTTCACATCCTATCCCACAACTTCGATTAGACCAATCCTGCTCATCTCCACTGCTCTCACCCAATGGCTCTTCAGGTCTATGCTCCATATCCCCCCATCTACGACGAAATCTTCCAAAGAACCTTATGAAGCCCATGGAACGATCCAGCTATAGATACACTAAGGGTCGGAATTGGCTGTGTGGCCACTACTCACTACTCATCCCCAAGCTCATGAAGAACCTTCTCTTCACCCCAACCTTCTTGCCCACACATAGACATACATGAAGTCAGGTTGTACCAAACCCGGCATGCTCAGCATGCTCCCAATGTTCACCCAACATTGCCAAGGACATTCTTTCTCGTGATGCCACCCAAGCTCAAAACCTCATTGGACCTCACCAACACCCACCCAAAAGTAAACCAATAAATTGTGCAAAAAATATGCTCTACTAATAGCATGAATCATGAGGATCAACCAATGTTGTACCCAAATGGTTCTGATCTTCCATTGGGCCACCTAACCATGCACACAAACCCATTTGCACCAGGCATTCCATGGACCCCATCCCCATCATTGATTGCCTAGCAAGTTTCCCTCTCACATGGCGCCCATGTGCTCTTGGAGGCCAAACAAACCCAATCGAAGCACCATCCATATTGCGCTGCTGTCTGGGGCAGCCGCCTTTGGTCTCAAATGAAATTGCATACATACAGCCACAACCCCAGCGCCGGCTGTTTGATGCACCCAATGCTTCATCTCATCTCATCTCATCTCATTTCATCCACATTGGAAGTTCCATTTTCCTATGCTCTCTAGCTATATGCCCATCTCTCTCTCTCTCTCTCTCTCTTTCATTGGACATCTTAAGCCATCAAATCAAGACACTCTTCCACACTCCACCATTGAGACTCTCCAGTAGAGGAATATAAGAAGTTGTGGTGGAATTGCTACTCTTACACTAGCTATAATGAAATCCACAATCTCGACTATCTCCAGCACCTGGGCTGCTTCCAAGGGGGGGGGCACCAAAAAAAATAAATTGCTTGTGGAATTGGCAATGAGTCCTCAATCTCCAGCAAGTGGGGCCTGGGCCTGGGCTTCTCTGGGGGGGTGGGGGCGCCCAAAAAAAAATGGTTGTCCAATTCCACGAGCAATTCTATTTTTTCGCCGCCCATCAGAGAAGCCCAGGCCCAGGCCCCCGTTGCTGAAGATTGAGAACTCATTGAGATTGGAGGTCTTGGAGACCAGATCTCCCTCATAGAGGTGATGACCTGATGATGTATGATGGGATGTCGTGGACTTGCTGATAGATGATGGTCGATGGAATTCTGTGTGGGAATCATGAGAGCTAGTATGTTTGAATAAGATTGATGAGAAATTTGACAGATTACAAGTCGACATTTTTGCTAGACACGTTTTTCAAAATTAAAGGACCGGATAACCCCACATATGAATCTTTGCGAATCTTAAGTTTCTAAAGCACAAAGCAGTCAGAGTCTCAATAGCTTCTACAACACGGCCTTGTCAGGAAGTGATATCAGCTTCCGACAACAGAGGGGTGGGAGAGAAGGTGTAAGAGAGTGATGCGCGCGACGGATGTACGAGGTATTGTGCACGCTGCACACAGGTGTGCGCAGCCACAACTAGCCAACAACCCCAGCGGTGGTCGCACGTCCGCAATATGGGGCATAATGTACTAAAGTTGTACTACCAAGTCGCCAGTTCTCAGCTTCCAGCTCGCCAGCTACTCCGCGTACTACAGTTGTACTACAAGGTCGCCATTGCTCATCTTCCAGCTCCCCAGATACTCCGCGTACTCAAGTTGTACTACCAAGTCGCCAGTTCTCATCTTCCCACTCCCCAGCTACTCCGCGTACTAAAGTTGTACTACCAAGTCGCCAGTTCTCAGCTTCCAGCTCCCCAGCTACTCCGCGTACTAAAGTTGCACTACAAAGTCGCCAGTTCTCAGCTTCCAGCACAGATTGCTCCGCGTACTAAAGTTGTACTAGAAACTCGCCAGTTCTCAGCTTCCAGCTCCACAGCTACTCCGCGTACTGAAGTTGTACTACAAAGTCGCCAGTTCTCAGCTTCCAGCTCCACAGATTGCTCCGCGTACTAAAGTGGTACTACAAAGTCGCCAGTTCTCAGCTTCCAGATCCACAGCTACTCCGCGTACTAAAGTTGTACTACAAAGTCGCCAGTTCTCAGCTTCCAGCTCCCCAGCTACTCGGCGTACTAAAGTTGTACTACAAAGTCGCCAGTGCTCATCTTCCAGCTCCCCAGCTGGTCCGCGTACTAAAGTTGTACCGCAAAGTCACCAGTTCTCATCTTCCAACTCGCCACATACTCCGCGTACTAAAGTTGTACTACAAAGTCGCCAGTTCTCATCTTCCCACTCCCCAGATACTCCGCGTACTAACGTTGTACTACCAAGTCGCAACCGCCAGACCCTCTAAGAGAGCAAGATCTACTGCAATTCACAATAAGACGGCGCCGCAGCCGACCAGCGGCGACCACAGCCGACCACCGGCGACAACGCAACCGCCAGACCCTCTAAGCGAGCGAGATCTACTGCAATTCACAATAAGACAGCGCCGCAGCCGACCAGCGGCGACCACAGGCGACCACAGCCGACCACCGGCGACAACGCAACCGCCAGACCCTCTAAGAGAGCGAGATCTACTGCAATTCACAATAAGACAGCGCCGCAGCCGACCAGCGGCGACCACAGGCGACCACAGCCGACCACCGGCGACAACGCAACCGCCAGACCCTCTAAGAGAGCGAGATCTACTGCAATTCATAATAAGACAGCGCCGCAGCCGACCAGCGGCGACCACAGGCGACCACAGCCGACCACCGGCGACAACGCAACCGCCAGACCCTCTAAGAGAGCGCCGTCTCTGTGTGTGTGGTCTCGGTGTGTGTGATCTCGGTGTGTGTGGTCTCGGTGTGTGTGGTCTCGGTGTGTGTGGTCTCGGTCTGTGTTGTCTCGGTGTGTGTGTGTGTGTTGTCTCTGTGTGTGTGATCTCTGTCTGTGTGATCTCGGTCTGTGTTGTCTCTGTGTGTGTGATCTCTGTGTATGTGATCTCTGTGTGTGTGATCTCTGTGTGTGTGGTCTCGGTGTGTGTTGTCTCGGTGTGTGTGGTCTCTGTGTGTGTGGTCTCGGTGTGTGTTGTGTCTGTGTGTGTGATCTCTGTGTGTGTGGTCTCGGTGTGTGTTGTGTCTGTGTCTGTGATCTCTGTGTGTGTTGTCTCGGTGTGTGTTGTCTCTGTGTGTGTGATCTCTGTGTGTGTTGTCTCGGTGTGTGTTGTCTCAGTGTGTGTTGTCTCTGTGTGTGTTGTCTTGGTGTGTGTCTCTGTGGGTGTGGCGGGAGGAGCGGGAGAAGCGGGATGAGACATAGAAAAGAAGAACCCCACACTAAGATGTGGGGAACAACTAACATTTTCAATAAAAACACAGAAAACCACAAATCACAAAAACGCGTAAAAACCACACCCGCATAACTTCGTTTTCTGAAGTAAAACGGGTGGTGCCCATTTTTGTCGTGGTTCACGAGTGTTTTGGACACCCCCAAGCAACTCAAAGCTTGCCCGCTGCATTCTGTTCCCTTCCTGTTCTCAATGAATGGGTCGCATCGTTTCATATCATGTCCTCCTCCACTATGCCTGTCTCGTCCACATGAACTCCCACCCCATATGGGGTGCCCTTCTGAGTCCGGCAACTAGACCTCTTCACCGTTAAGAAAGAGCACCCCCAAGCAATTCAAAGCTTGCCCGCTGCATTTTGTTCTCTTTCCTGCCCTCAACGGACCACAGCATTGGTGCCCTTTTGCGTATTGTTGACAGGTGTCTTCACCTTCAAAAAAAAGGGCACCCCCAAGCTCTAACATTTCTTGCAAACAACATTTCTTGAAACACTCTTTTCCTACCACGTCCTCCTACGCTATGCCTGTCTTCCACCTTCCCCACAGCATTCTGGCTCCTCACAGATCACACAATGTCTGAGACACGCACCTCCCTTTCACACAACTTCACTGGCCATGGGAGGCGCGCATCTCCCTTTTCTGGAGGAGCTCCAACCATTCTTCGCGTCCCGTTGCCCCCTCCCCTCTTTCCTATCATTGACGTGAACTCCCAACCTGGTAGAAAACGGTTTACATTGCCTCCTGAGCCCCTCGTGATGCTAATGATGCACTACTTGATAATTACATCACCTGCATCACATCACTCCCAAAAACGACTCATTTTCACTACCAAGTGGCCACCTCTTTTTTTCGCTCTCCCCCACCAGGCTCTGGGTTCGCCTCTCCGAAATTGCCCACTCGCGACCAGCCCCCCCACACCCCCTTTAACTCACTTCGTTCGCTCCCTGCCTCAAGCCCTGCCTATCGGCTGGCTTTCGTGATCTACAATGACATATATATATATATATACAGTATATATATATACAGTATATATATATAATCCGCCGACCCCACACCGTGGGGTGAGGCGTGACTGTCGATTTTAGCCTTAGCCTTAAGCCTTAGCCTTAGCCTTAGCCTTAGTCCTTAGCCTTAGACCTAGTCCTTAGCCTTAGACCTAGACCTAGACCTTACCTCCCCTACCCCTCCGGACCCTTGTTGCAGTGACGAAATCCGGCCCTAAAAGCGACGGAAATTCTCCAGGAAAGCTACCTGATTGTGACGTGGATTGTCCAAGATTCTGCCATCCCAATTGATTTACATCTTGGGGCACCCTCTCGACCCGCGCGGGAAAATAAGCACGGTCCAAAATGGTCCTGGGCTCGAATCCCGGGCTGGTCGCGGCATGGTCCCGGCCAATGCCCTTGCTTTTTCGTAGATTTTGTCACGTTTTCTGTTGGCTTATGAGATTTTCAAAGGCTTTTCTGGCATTTTCCTAGGAATGCTCTAGGCTTTGTCTTTTTGGGTACCTGCTTTGGTGGTGCTGGGTTGGGTCTAAGTTCTTGGGCAATGATATCCTTTATGGGGACGAGGGTTCAGCATTACGGGGTTCATGCAAGAGATGACGTCCGATGGTAAACCTGGGAGGTACCCAAAAGGTCGACTTTTTGGGTACCTGCTTTGGTGGTGAAGGGTTGGGTCTAAATTCTTGGGCAATGATCGGGGTTCATGCAAGAGCTGACGTCCGATGGTAAATCTGGGAGGTACCCAAAAAGTCGACTTTTTGGGTACCTGCTTTGGTGGTGCTGGGTTGGGTCTGCACTCTTAAGGCTAAGGCTAAGGCTTAAGGCTAAGGCTAACATAGAGCAAGGCTAGCGCTAAGGTTCTATCCCTTGGGGGTCGGCGGCTGCAGGCGGTAGCCTGGTAAATATATATAAAAGCCTCAATGCAAGTACAATGGCCCTCTGGTGGCAGCTTCCTTGCACAAACAGGCTGTTGACTACTGGTTTGGGGAAAAGGCCTGAAGATTATGCGAACGATCTGGCTGAGTCCTGCACCGCTTTGCCGGAAACATTTTCAGAGCTGAAGGCAAATGGTTTGTTTGTCCATCTTTCAACAGGTCTGTATGCACTCAGTCTGCCAATTCATTACTAAAGAGCTCCTGTCGGGCAGTCGTCCTGCCATGCCAGGGATTTGTTCTAGTCATCCATCACCCTCAAAGGCAAAGAGCGCCCCAACATGTCGGTTGTGCCGCTTGCCACATCCTTGGCAGAAGCGCAAGAGATTGTTGCACTGGGTTAGGCTTGGAAAGTCAATCCAGGTTTGATCGTAAAGAGGCTTTCTTGGCAATCGAGTCTCGTCGCCATCCTCATCAGCATCCTATCAGAAAAGACATTGCGATGCAACAACACCACAAACATGTTCAACCATCTCAAGCCAATGTCTAGAAAGCGCATGCTCGAGGTCTCCTCGACGTCAGAGTCAGTCTCGCCTGAGGAGAGACTGTGCTTCAATAAAGGAATATACTGTATACCTTTGAACAATTATTGTTTCTACTAGTAACAAGTGCATCGCTAGTAGTAACAAGTGCCTTACTAGTAGTAACAAAGAGCTATTAGAATTAAAATTTTTAAAAAAAATCAACGACATGAACTCTCAGGATCAGACGCATGCTGACGTGCCGGCGATCATTTGAACTGCCCCTGTTCAGTCAAGTTCCATGGAGAGAAAGGATTTGCCTAGATGTTTGGTGCGTACTGTTTTGGACTTCACTTCCCAAGCATTCTTCGAGGCAGTCTGGAGGCCATAGATACTTGGAGCACAACTGATTCCAACCCTCCCCCCACCCTTCGCACAATTCCGCACCTTCGGCCAGCATAGGCCTGGAAGAGGCGAATAGGAATTGAATTAAACAAATCCAATCAGTCCCTGCCAAGCGACAAAACGTGACATCTATGCAGACTTGAACAGGCTTTGACATAAAGAGTGGCAAACCAAATAGTGTGTGTGTGATCTGTATATATACTATGTTTTCCATTGTTTTCCTATCTGTTTGGCAAGGGCTCTCGCCCAGTCGGTCAACATTGGCGGTCATTACTCTACACTCCAAATGTTTGTCTGTCTAGTTCTATTGGCCTATTCATTTTGTCCAGTCTCTGCTGTTCCAGTCGCTATCCTTCTGCTTTTGTCTTGCGTGCTCTTCTCTACTTCCGACCAGGGTGACTCAGGGCGACTTCTCTCAAGCAATAGTGACTGTAGTGGCAAACGCAAGGACGAAAAGAAAAGGAAAATATGAAGTGTTTGGACGCTTTCATAAAGAGCCTTTTAAAAGGCCCGGGTTGACATTCTTGTTTTCCTATCTTTTCAGCCCCGAGGCGGAAGCAAGTGGAGTAGCACGTGCCAGAACTAGAGTGCACGATCCCTTGCACTCAACTGCATCTTGCTTGACTATCATCACGCGCTTCTTTCATTCTACGTGGGCTTTTCTCCGTGCTCCATTGTGTACACTCTCGATCTCTCTTTATGTCCTCTGCTTCAACATGTTCAGCTCTGAACTCAGGCGTTGTACTGAATACCTGCTCCTTGAGTAACTTGAGTAGTAACAGTAACTTCTGAAAACCTTTTTCAATCTTTGTGCTTCATTACTTTCATGCATGATAGATCTTCTTTAGATAAGTCCATGCAATTTCCGTATATCGAGGCCACAAGCCGAGAGAAAGCAGTGATTGATACAAAAGTATTTTGGCTCTATTGCGCAAAAATGCAGGTAGGCAACTTTGGACTCAGTATGACTCAGTGTACAGTTGCTTTTGTGTCGTGCATGGGAAGCATGCATATGAACTTCATCATCCCTTGCCCTTCATATCTTCCTGATTGGTTGTAGCTACGTCGTGCATGGAGGCTGCTCAGTTCATGGGCAGTCTTGGGGTGGTAAACTTAGATCATGTTGCTTTGGGTCCCCTTTTGCGCCCCTGTATACAATGATCGGAATGTGACATGTTGCTTGAAAGGGTCACAAAGTCCTTTCAAAAGAAGACTCTGGACGTTGCAACAACAACGCAGCACAGCACAGGCCTGTGGAAACCTGGCACAAGGACTGGAGTCGAAACACCCTCACGCTCACACACGACATGGCCTTCAACCTATATAATAGCAACCGCCGGCTGCAGCATTTTCTCTTTCCTTCCCAAGTTCCATCCGGCCTCTTCGCACCAGACTTGCGGCCCTGCAAAGATAAGGTATTCAGAAGGGCGACTGCCGCATGAAACAAAGCGAAGGGCCTGCCCGTGGTGCCCTGTCCTTCAATCAGAATCAAGGGCTCTAACTGAGAACTTGGTGCACTTTCTCAGGCTGTGACGACTCTTGAGCCTTGAAACAAGATCTACTCACTGAGCTGCTTGGTGCCGTCAAATGTTGGGTGCGCGGCTGAGTTTCGTCTAGAGGAGGAGGAGGAACCCGACCTTGCTGACAATGGAGTTCATTATCATGTGTATGTGTGTATGTATGTGTATATATATAGTATATCATAGGACGCATTTGGTGGGTTTGAAACACCTTTAATGGCGAGCTGTGAGCTACATGACCAGGCACCCGGCTCGAAAGGGGCCCAAAACTCATCCAGGGACATACGTCGTGTGGAGATGCGCTCTCGAGCACGAGCCTGTCGAATTGTTCAGAAAAAGATACCCGGAAATGCCCAAAGCAACGTCCCATTGCAAGGGCCCGACACGTCCATGCTTTGCTTCATCTTTGTGGCTGCCTCTGGCCTTACAAACCAAAAGGACCCAAAAGGCACCCGTAAAGAGGTGTGGTGATCATAAATTTCAAGCACAGCTGATGTTGCTCGAGCAAATCTTGTTTAGAACAAGTTCACGGCCCGAGATGCCCGGGTCCTCAGATGGCACAAGTTCCTTTTTGTGTTCTTGCTTCTAAGCAGACATTGTATTTGGTCTGGTTGTGTCCAGTAGTGAGACATTGTCAAGCTTTTCTTGCGCTAAGACTCTGCATGCTCGCTCTACCCCCTCAATCTTTCATCTAGTTTTTGAGAGATTATGTTTCTTGTCACTTGTCACGTCAATCAAGTGATGCGGTTGCAGGAAATCGCATTTGCGTGCCCGGCGTAATGGCTGGGCGCTCAGTGGCCGCATGCTCAGCACCTCTGTCGAGCCAATTTCAGTCATGCAATCGCCGCTCGGTGGCTGGCTTTCGCAGAGTGTACCAGTGTGACACAAGCTGAACTTTGGAGTGATACTGCGCCGTCCACAGAAACGCTTTGAGCCAACACTTTTTCCATGTTCCTAACAAAAGTTGGCATCTACAGTACTCTTTCAGAGAAGTGTCAACACAAGAATCGGGGCCCACGCTGTGAGCTACCAGCGGCCTCCAGTAGGAGTCCGATTGGCATCAACGGAATAGAGCGCCAATGTCACAAGTCGTTCTATTATGTACTATTATGTATATAATTGTGTCTGTGTATAGTTGTTTTCCCACCTGTGTTTTGACCTGCTTGCGGGTGCACGCAGCTATCTTGTGGGCATCACCTATCCCAAATCTAATCTCGCGGTCATCTAATTCGCGGTCGTCTGATTGACGATTCAATCTTGTCAGCATCTTTACAGTAGCACGCCGTCCTGAAGACAACTTTGCAATGCAACCTTTTGTACCCCAATACAAAAAACAGGACATAACTGCAGGTGCAACAGCACAAGATTGGCGACATGCTCGATGGTTCATGTACAGTACAGGAACTCGCCCCACCCATATGCTATCAGTTCTGCAGCTCTACCGTCCTCTACTATGCATGCAAGCTGTCTCTCAACCCGTGATTCAAATTGATACCAACTTTGCCAAGCTTGCCATTGCCTTGGCGGACTGGCATTGGTCTGAAGCTTATAATATCTTTTGAGGTGTCTAGTCATTATGGTCCCAGGCATACCCAGGCTGGTTGAAAACAAAAGGATGCGAAGGTGTGTCAGCTCTGCCTTGCTGGTAGTCGCCAAGTTCGATTTCTCAGGCGTTGCCTCCAGCTACCTTGCCGTACGGCATTCATTTGTTCAGGATATCTGTAGCTAGGCTGTAGCCTTGCACTGGTGGTATCACCTTACTCGCTTCAGCCACCGGCTCCTAGGCACTCCAAAAGAATCTCCGCAGCAAGGCTGATAAACTTTGGGAATGAGCTCAACAAGTATTCCATGTTTTTCAGATGTTCATGGCTTCAGACCTCCGGAATGATCTCAGGAGGTGAGTGGCTCCTGCAAGAAGAGTCTGAGCGATCTGGAACCAATTGCGCAGGTGGAGTTCATAAGTCCAAGGACTGACACAGGACATGAGACAATTCGGTTTAATGTTTACTTGGATGCAATCGTTTCCGTGAATCAGGTTCTACGCTAGTACTCTTCAAGCAAGCACTATGGCCTTCCATCTCGTCTAGGGCCTGAAAGCACATCTTGGACAGCGACTTGCATACACTAGGAGCATGGTACAAAGCTGTTATGCAAAATGAAACCTCTTCAGTAGGCTGCAGTATCGGAGTGCGGACGGGGGATTCAAAAGTCCTAAGCATGCGTTCCCGGAAAATCAACTTTGGCGTTGAGGTGGTGTTCTAGCACTTGTTCTTGCACAAAGAGGCTGTTAGGCAAGGTGGATTCTTAGATTGTGCAGAATGTCAGCCGGAGGAATCATGCAAGACCACGCCTTGCTGTCCCTCAGGATCTTCTGGAATTGGGCTCACCACCTCCTGTTCAATTCGGAGTCCTTGTTACTAGTAGTAATCCACTTGTTTCTAGTAGCGATGCCCTTGTTACTAGTAGCTTCTTGCTGCTAAAATGCAACGCTTCAGCAAGGATTGGCCAAATTTGGTGGCTCTCGGACTCTCGGTTGTTTGGAATGCACATACCGGTTTGCCAGTCCTTCGTGGTTGGAACCAACTCAGCTTTGTCAAGCTACAGTGCAGCACCGCGATTGCTACAAAACAAGATCCAAGTGCATTGTTGTATTGGTTGATCACCCGTCATCCTCATTGAATGTATATAAATAGATTGTTCGCCTTGTCATTTAACAATTTCTGTATATAGTTATGGTCAAAAATAACCATATTCAATATTCCGCTTCCCCTTTCACCTACAGTTTCGGCATGCTCCAAAAATCAGAAGGCAATCCAGAAAACAAATTGCAGCTCTGAGAGTTGCGTTGTTGAGGTTGGGGCAGGGTATTGGCGTCGATTCAAGCCACGGCATGCTTTTAGACCTAAAGGTTGCAAAAAGCAATAGTGATCCGAGACACGCACTGAAACACGGGATCGAGTTTCCACCCCCCTCGGTCTGCTGCGTTGATGGATCTCCTTGTTGAGGAGTTGCAAAGTTTGCTTCCTCGGAAAAGGAAAACAGTTCAATTCTGTACAGTGTCAAAAAAAGCAGATGTGTAAAGGAGCTGCAAACCAAGCACTCCACATTTCAGGTTTTATCACCTTGCCCTCAGCGGCGAGTGTTTAGAAACGAGCAACCAAAGAACAACATCCAGACCAATGATCCAACGATGGAACGCCAATGATTGAAAAACGGAAAGGGACCTACTGCAAGGTGAACTCTCACTGACACCTGCGAAGTCTTTTTGCTGATGCAGTCTGAGCATGTGTGCATCAATCCGACGTACACACGGCAAACGACCTCAAATGCATCCCCTTCCTATATACAAAGCTGTACACGAAGGGCTTCACCCATGTCTTTGTGCAGACTCGGTTTCCCGCATCCACTTCTGGAACCCAAGGGAACGAATCAGGACTAGAAACAGGCTCAACTCTGCATCATTCGTCTCTTTTGTGCATGTGCTTTACCATCATAATGTTTGTGCTACCGGTGAGCGAGAGTTTCAAAGCATATAAACTATAGGGCCGTGATTGGTGTGACGACTCGTCAGGTGAGGAGGAGGCTTGAAGTGGTACAGTGAAGTGCAACATGATGATTCAAGATTCAAGGGATGGTGAACGGGTTCGTTCGGTGGTTACATGTAGCACGGCAAAGTGTAAAGTGGGAATTTGTGTAATGTGGTGGTTGGCAATGTGGTGAAGTGTAGTGCAGTGGGGTGAGTGACGAGATTGCTTCCGATGCAGTGATGTCTCCGCGTGAACGGTCTTGCAGGTCCTTCTTGAATGATGTGTTGAAGTGCAGCGTGATGAGTGAGGAGAGGAGGTGGATGAATTAGTCAAGGACTGAGTAAGTGAAGATGTCAGGGAGACAAGGAGTGAGTGAGACAGGTCAATAAGGGAGTCAGTGAAGGATTCAGTGAATCCAGCATGTACTACAGGTGCACTACAAACTGGCCCGGAGCTTCCAGAAACCACTTCCTGCACTACATTTTGCACTACAAAGTCACCAGTTCTTCCTTGCGTATGACAATGCATAGACGATTCTCCCATCGTGTCCGCCACTGTCAGGGCCATAACCATTCTATCCAGAACACCTGCTACCCTCTACCAGGAACAAAGGGCATCGCTACTAGGAGCAAGGACGCTACTAGTAGCTCCTGGCCTTACTACTAGTAACAAGAAGCTACTAGGAGCTACTAGGAACAAAGGGCAATTAGCCTGGGGACTGTTCCGAAACCGTCGCTGTTCCAAAATACCGCTCTGCCCGCTGACTACTCTGTCCATTAACGCGCGCTCGATCACACACACACACACAGTCTGCTGCTCTTTAGTGCTACACCAGCATATTACCATATGTGTCTAGCATCTCTATATGAGTTGTTTTCTAAGTTACTTGCTTAAGCTGTATTCATTCAAAGTTAGGGCGTCCCGTATCGTTTTGCAATGTTTGGTAGAATGAGCGCTGTATGTATCGCTTTGCAGGCTTTGGCTTTGCATGTTTCGCATGGTGGGGTCTTGCCACAAACACTGAACGTCACGGATCACAACAAACAAAACACAAACACAAACGCACAAACAACAAAACACAGGAACCCCTATTCGTGATTCGTGATCATTCAGAGATCTGAGAGCATCCCCTGCAAACACTGGAATTGCGACGAGCTCTGTGAGGTGAGGAAGGACGAAAGCACGGAGGGCTGCTCCAGCAAGCGCAACATTGCTGGCTTCTGCCGCTCGTTTGCTGATCTGATCTCTTTCACTAGAAGACACAAGCCTAAACTGTTCGCTAGAAATGTATCCTTTTCAAATTATTTGCCTAGAAATCCGGAAACTTTTCTCTGGAAATCTCTGTTTCTGAACGGGTCCGGTACTTTTTGCTCAGAAAATCTCTACCTGTGGACTTTTTCCTCTTGAAATCTCCTCTTTTGCGTAACTTCCCTTGAGAGTCTACTTCTCGAATATGTTCAATAAGTAGTGTCCTCTGGAATCTTGCTTTTTGAGGATTTTCTCCAGAAATGTGTCTATTGTTGGACGCTCCTTGCTGGAGACATCGAACTTTCGATACTCTTGGCCACCGTCACGGCGATGCAAACCAACTCACAGCACACCACATAGCGTGCACAACTGTCCCGACCAGTCGCAACTTACCAAACTACAATTTTCAGCCTTTGCACGCATATGATCAAGCACACGAAGACTGCAATTTGTCGTAGGTTGAGAATTTTTCTTGAATTCGTCTTTCGAACAAGTCATCGCTTGGTTTCAAGCCTGTCTGCGGACCTATACTCCGATACTCGCATCTCATGATGCGTTGTGAATTCCTCAGCAATACCCACCCAACATCACCCGACTAAGATACCTCCATCCAACGTGGAGGGAGCTTACTCAGTGTGCATCCTGCTTGCCATGTGGGGCTGGGATTGAATGCTTTGCATAAAGTCTTGATGCCAACCCAAATGCTCTTCTAACAACCTACAGATCATTTGAGGGCAAAAGCAGCAACCCGGTGAATTGATTTGGTATCCGTCTTCTGGCTTGGATGTGCAATCCAACAATAGCAGCTCTTGTAGTTTAACTATGTACATCAGTCTGACAGCATGCCTTAGTCTTGGTGCTGCTTTGCAGGTGTACAATGATGTATATATATAGGATGATATATGCATGTCCGTGTGTACAAATAAACGCATCAGCTTGTTGTTGTTAGCATGGGAATCTGTGATCTGCCTTTGTTTGCGTTTACTTGATAACAACGTGGCCTCCTTTCAGGTCTTTGGGTCAAAGATACAAAGTGCATTCATTCTGATATGGTTTCTCAAGCAGTCTATTGCTGGGCGCCTTATCAGCTGCGCAATTCAGTCTCTAGCTCTAGTTTTCTCTTGTGAACGAGGTGTTTGACGGGGGCAACGCATCATAATCTGAGATGTCCCAGGCTAGCAAGAGGGACATCAAAGCGCCGTTCCATCAACTGACAGCTCTTGAATCTTTCCTGCTGTCAGCCCTTCGGAGCAGACAAGTCCAATACTCACTGGAGTGGACGAACTCGAACCTTCATCTCCTCCGATGCTCAGCTGGCTGGACTGCATGATTTTGCTCACATCCCCCCATTCAACCAGGCTTGTCACAAGTGCAAATGTAATACTCATTATCACATCCACATCACATGCATGCTCTGCTTTGCACCAAAAGCAGGGGACAAGCAACTCTGGCATTAGGCCAAGTGCTCGTAGCAGCTTTTTCTCTGGGCAGTGAAACTAATCTTCAATGTTCAAATCATGTAATTTACACATCAACATTGTTAAGCATCTGGATACACTTGACATTGAAATCACGCCAACCGTCGGAGCAAGAACGATACCTGAACAAAGAAGGTCGTGCGAGAACTTCGAAAGGCCTCGAATGAGCTCAGCCTTCAGATGTGTTGGCTTTCAGATCCCGCCGCAAGACGAGCTCCAAATACTGTTGTTGGCTTTCTCGGATTTTCTGCAGCATGGCTAAGCTTCTCGCCAATGATGCGACTTCTGCTTCTAATGGATGCGACTGTGGCAAGTCCAAGTCACCTGTTGCAGACATTGAAGCAGACATTGAAAGCTCCAGAGTGTCTCCTATTGAGTGTCTCCGTGCTGAAGCTCCAACAAAGGATGAATTTGGACTTCCTTCACTCATAAAATCTTCAGAAAGCTCGCTGGCACTTGAGCCTGCAATGCCTAAGCCTCCTTTGGGCTCAGGCTTGGTCATGGGTGCGCTCTGGCTTGTCGACTCGTCAGCGGCTTCGAGACCCTCCTCCTCCT